AACAACAACAACAAAAACCACAAATCCTTTTTATTACTCATATAAGAAAGAAGAAATAAAATTATTACTGTTTACAAGACATTATTACTGATGACAAGACATATTTTAGAAAACCATAAGGGTTACACAACTGTTAAAGCTAATAAGTGAAGTTTTGAGGAAGTTGGCAAAATTATGGAATACCAACTCAACATACCAAAAATAAGTTGTGTTCTTATACATTAAGCAACCTGAAGAGAAAAATAAGAGAACAGTTTTACTTACAATAGCATAACAGAGAATACAATGTTTAGGATAAAATTAAACCAGGAAGAAAATAACTTATACACTGAAAAATTGCTTAAATAAATTAAAGACTTAAATAAATGGAAAGACAAATGGAAAGACATTCTATGTTCATGGATTGTAAGACTTAGTAAGATGGCAATACTACCCAAAGCAATCTGTAGATTCAGTGCAATTCCTATCAAAATCCCAACAATGATTTTGCAAGTATAGAACAAACACATTCTAAAATTTATATTGAATCTCAAGAGATCTCAAATAGCTAAAGCAATATTAAAAAAGAATAAAGTTGGAAGACTCACATTTCCTAATTTCAAAAATTGTTACAAACGACAGTAATCAAATTAGTATGATACTGGCATAAAAACAAACTTATAGACTTATAAATCAATGGAATAGAATAGAATAGCCTAGAAATAAATCTTTGCATACTTGGTAAAATGATTTTTGAGAAGGGTGCCAAGACCTTTTAATGCATAAAGGACAGTCTTTTCAACAAATAGTACTAGGAAAACTGGATATCAACATACAAAAGAATGAAGTTGGACGTACCTTACACTACATATAAATATTAACTCAAAATGGATCTAAAGCTTAGAGTTTCGTTTGGGGAAAATGAAGATGAATAGTGATAATGTTTGCGTAACAATGTAAATGTATTCCATGCCACTGAATTTTAAACTTATAAATGGTTTAAGTGGTCATATTTAGTTATGTGCATTTTAACAGACAAACACAAACACACACACTATATATATACATATATATATGTATATATATATACACACACATATATATATGTGTGTATATATATGTATGTGCGTATACACACACACATATATATATGTATGTATATATGTACGTATATATACATTCTAGGCATTGTAATGATTTCTTCAGTAGGCTCCTTTGGTTTTAAGGACTATAGACTCACTCATGGAATCAGAAATTATAGGACATTATAAGAGATAGTATAGTGTGACAGTTCAGAGCATGAACTTGAGTCAGATGGACAGTTCTTTCACTTAATAGCTGGATGATCTTGTTTTAAAAATGGGGATAATGATAACACCTACCTCACTGAGTTGTAAAAATTAGATGAATTAAAAAAATTAGATGGGTTGATAAATAGAAAGTGCTTGGAACAGTGTCTAGCTCATAGTATGAACTTTGAGTGTTAGTATTTATTATTATTGCTTTTGTTAATTTTTCTATGGACTTTAACCCAAAACAGGAGGCTGTCAAAATGAGTCAACTCCCAGTTCTCTTTTGTTCTCAGAGTACTGTTTTCTTTCTGTTGGTGCTTTTGACTCCCTTTATATATTTTCTTCATTTTTCTCTTTTAATCCATTGGATTATTTTATTCTATAGTGGGTTTTTTTCCCCCTTTACTTCATAACTTCAATCTACTCAGTCTCTTCTTTCTTTCAACTTTGTTATGTTCTTGTTCTTACATGGTCTTAACTCTACCAGCCCCCTCTCATTCCGATTTTACTAGCTAGCTTCTCTCTACTTATATTTTCAGCTTTAGTTTCCATTGCTGTTTCTCTATAAATTCCAGTTCAAAATTTTAGGAGAAATTTGGACAGCTCCACCTTTTACATCATGCTCATAACCAATCTTTGGCCAACCCACAGATTGCCTATCCTTCAGTTGAGTGCCAGCCTATGACCTATTAACCTATTAACTTACAATGTATGTTGTAAAGAGAGAAAATGATACCAAACTTAGCTCCCTGTGGGTATCTTCTCAGAGTGGACTATAAGTAGAATAGTGTAGTTTATGGACTCTTATGAATATAGCAGTAACTATTATTAACATGCTTAGTAGACCAGGAAGCAAAGATGAATAAGACAAAGATCCTCCTTTGAAGAGGTTCATATGGAGCAGATATGTATATACAATCATGCAGTGTGATAACTACTATATAGTTAAAAGGACAAAGTACTTTTAAACATAGAAGATAATCCAATTTCCTGGTTATAGAGAATAGGACAGTTTTCACAGTATGCAGTGACATTTCAACAGGTTTGTTAGAGATAAGAAATGTTTTCTTGGATGAACCAGAGCCGGGAAAGGACTGGAGCAAGGGCATTAAGGCAAATTCAGTTGTGAAAGCAAAGTCATAGAGGTATAAAGATACATGACATGATCAGGAAATGGAGCTGAAGATAGGATGGGTGGAACATAGGCTAAAAATGAGGGAGGTTATATAGCAGAGTAAAGTGTAGGTAAGAGCTGGCCTGTGGATGTTTTTAGTCTGTGAATTAATGAAAATAAATTTTGATTTTACTTTTCATCAACTAAGATTCTATCAAAAGTTATCAACAAGGATGGATACTACTTCTTCATTTGAAAAAGAAATGTTCTGTGGTAAGGAGAATGGCTTGGAGTTGGTAAGGACTGGAAATAGGAAACTATTTAGAAGGCTATTAACATAGTCCTGTTAAGATATAATAAGGTCTTGAAGTTCAAAAGTGCAATGACTGATTTGGTGATTCACAGGGTCAAGGATGATTCACACATGTACATATCTCAACTATAATCTAAAGAAAAATGCCAAAGAAAGCAACATTTTAGTTACGTTTAGTTAGCTTGAAGAGGATTTAAGAATGGTCTTATTTATTTATTTATTTTTTTGCCTCTAGATATATAGCAAAAAGGCTAAGAGTGTGACATTGGGATGAAGATTTTTTTTTGTCTTAAAGAGGGCTATCATCTCTTCTGAATTTTGTCTGCTTTTAGATTTAAGCTAAATATCAGGAGAGTCGAGTAGGATAAAATTTTCTTATAGTGTGCAGTGTTGAATCAGATAAATTGGATCAGCAACAGAACTGAAAATGTTCTTTACAAATATAGCTTGTCTTATATTTGTGACTCCATATTCCCACTGAGGGTTCTGCACCAATACTCCTTTAAAAGTATGCCTCTCTGTGAAGGCATAATTTCAGCACAACCACATGTGTACACAGTTGTCCAATTGCAGGAACAATGAAACACCAGAGACCAGAACCTTGCAATATACACAAACATACATTGTAAGTTAATAGGTTAATAAAACTCTAAAACTGAAGTCAAAGAATACTGTACAGTAGTTATTTCTAAAAGTAATGTGTTTTCTGAAAATTTAATGTGCTTTTCTTTCATAAAAAAGAAATAAAGAAGAGAATATCAACATATTTTCAAGCCACAAATTTTCCCCTCCTCTACCCTTAATAATTTGTTGGAAGTCATTTAAGTAAGATGTAGCCTTTAGGCTACTTAGTAGGAAAAGGTTCTTTTTATTGTTTCCATGATATGTTGGTGAATTCTGAGTCCTGTGTCCAACATTCTGTTATACCAGTGACTCCTGTTTTCCAAATTCGAAAGCCATTTTTAATTCTCCTACATTTGACCTTTTGAAAAATTTTTCTTTCTCATCTTGAATCTTAATACCTTAGTTTTCTACCTCCTTCTTGATGATTTATTTTCTCATCTCTATCACTCCCACTTTGTGGGTACTTGCCAAAGGTGTTTTTCTCCTCCTTCTTCCCATTGTCTCCTTTGATTTTCTTCCAACTCTATAACTATTTCCTCTCTGCTGAGTATTTCCCAGGCGTGGGCTTAGGCTTTATCTCACTTCCATGGTATTGCATGTGTTATTGCCTCTCCCCAAAAGAGTATCACCTTATACAAATTTCTGCATATTTTTCAGATTTTAGTACTTTTGGGCATTTTTCCTTATAGAGCTGGGTATCTCTCCCATGTATTATAGGGAATCTTGTACTTCCCTTTACAATAGCCCTTGTGCTATCATATTTATTATATATTTTAGGGATTCTCAGAGTGAGAGCCCCACCAAGAACTTGTTAGAAAGGCAAATTCTCAGGCCCCAGGGCATCAACTGAATCAGAAACTCCAGGATGTGGCTCAGGCATCTGTGTTTTCACAGCCCTCTAGGTGGTGATCCTGATATAGTCTAACCTCTTAGAATCAGCGGTATGTTGCAGTTGCAGGGTTTTGATGCCCTACTGTATTTATAGGCTGTGATGTCAGTATCCAGTGCAGAATTTGATCCATTGCTGCTACATACTAAAATTTTGTTTCAGTGCATGAACAAATGAACAAATGAATGATAACTACTTTTTTTAGGAACTCTAATTACAGTTCTCTTATTATCCACTATGTAACATGTTGGAGGAGCCAAGAGCCTTTCAAAGTCAACATCTGCGATAGGAAATCTAATACCCCCTCAACAACACTTTCCTTCAAAAGAATCACACATGTCTGCCTCTATAACCCTAACTTTCCTACCTCTCCTTTTCTATCAATACTACAATCATTTCTCCATTACTCTCTAAAGCCTATTAACCATTATCTGTACTTATGGCATATATTGCATTCTGAACTGAGTTATGGTTATATGTTGCCCATTCCGTTGAGTAATATACAAGCTCCTTAAAGGCAGATACCAATTATCTTTGAATCTTGTAGTTCTTAGTGCATTGGCACTCAATAAATAGTTCTACAGTTAGTTAAAATCTTGTCAAAAAAACAAAATGAAATTATTACCAAAAAGCAAAAAGGGAGTTATACATGAGGACATTCTACCATTTTTCCTGTTGTTGAAGATGAATGTGTCTAATTTTTGTTTTTTTTTTTAAGAGTAACTGTCACCTGGACAATGGTAACTATTCCCAAAGAAATCACTATGTGAACATTCTAAATCTTTACAGATTATTAATGCTGCACTTGCTTTGGCTGCACGACCCAAAAGTCAAGTGGTCAAAAAAACCATGGAAATGTACAAGCACACATGGGAGAATCATATCCACGTCCTCACAGAAGCTGTAGATGACATTACAAGTATTGATGACTTCCTTGCTGTATCTGGTATGTTTTTGATCTTTTAGTTTATATATTTGCTCTAGTAAATTTTCTGAAACACAATAATACTGACTATTATTAATTTTATAAAAATAACAAGACATTTATTGCAAAGTACTTTTTTGTATGATCTATTCTAGGATAATAAGCCTCATGATTTATAAGCGTTACATCTTAATAATTTACATTGTCTCTCTAAAAGAAACTCCTATTCCTGGGCAAAGCACAATTGAAAATAGTAGCTGAAAATCTTAGGCATTTCCTGGCTTTTCAAATAAATCACCATTTTTTTCCTTCCTTAATATACTTATATCTTTTCATTTTCCTGCACTTCTCTTCCAACCAAATTTTTCTTTACTCAGAAGAAAATATATGTACTAACAGGAAAACTCTGTTGATTTGAGATACAATGTGTACTTCAACTACCAGTATATGTATTTGAATAGCAGTGATCTAAAAAATCAAATAAAAATATCTAAACATCTAACTATATCAGTAATAGAGAAGCTCGAGATCCCATGTGAAGCCTAGATGATTCTCTCTCATCACAGATTAGAATGGCATCCCATGGGATTGGGAAATTACTCTCATAAAGTCATATCTTCAGATATATAACTCAGGTTTTGATTATACTGTTGTAACAGCACAGAACTAAATACTTTTTCATCTTTTTTTTTTCTCATAAAAATTAAGCTTCTCCTTAAATTATATATTTTTCTCTTTTTTTGAGAGAGCTTTTTCTTGGAATGTAATAATATCCTTTGTTATAAAGTGCAAATTCTCATGAATTTTTAATATAATTTTATCTTTTGAAAGTTTCCTGATGTACTTTTTCTAACTTGAATTCATTGGTTTCATATATGTGTACATTCTCATCCTAAACAATAGTTCCTTAGTATATTTTCATGCATTATTAATGAAAAAAAGTGTGCTAGTTATTTTAAAATTGTTTTATTTCTGTAGAGTATCTAATTTATTTCATCCAACATTTATCTATAAATTTATATTTTTAAGTAATCGAGTCATGATATATAATACATAAATTTTATATACATGCCTAAATATAAATTTCGCCAAACATGTGTAAAAGGACAAATAATTTATATGTGTATATATAACATATATAAATTGCCTTTTTACACAAAATGTTTGGCTGAATTTTCTCACATCATTGTATAATCTTCAAAAAAATGATTCACCTGTTTTCCTTTTGTTAGTGTTTAGCTAAATTGTAATTTTAACTATTATAAACATGCATATTTTTGTCTATTCACTGTCATCTTAGTATAGATTTTGCAATGTGAATCTAATCAATTTCTTATATTGGGGTAATCACTTATAATTTAGTCGTTCAATGCTAGGTTCTGTTTTTATAGTTAGTTCTTTTGGTTATGATGCAAAGAAGTCTTCTCATAATGCTTGATGTAAAAGCACTTTATTATAGGTTTACTGATGACATAATAAGGAGACTCTCCTGGACACATAAGAACAGAAACCATAAATGTCCAGTCTTGAATACTTTGATCTGAGCAGGCCTGATATCTAAGGAACTCCATGGGTCTTCAGAGCAGGAACTATGGTTTTTCCTTTGAGTACTAGATTAACCTGACCTAGAAACTTTCTGAGTCTGCTACTTTCTGTTAACAACTTTAGTACTTCAGAATATTTTGCTTGCACATAACAGAAAATTCATATGAAAGTTTCTTAAAGAATAGAAACCTTTAATTATCTCATGTAACTAGATGTTTAAGATAGTTGGTTCTGGACTTACTAGTCACAGCATACCAGAGAACATGGATAGGAGAAGTCTAGGTATGTGAGGAGGAATATCTTATCACTAGCATTGTTTAGAATTGTCAGTACAGGGTAGTAATCAAAAGTGGATTAATATTTAATGTGTTTCATAATTGTTTTTAAATTGTCTACAGACAATGAGCTCATTATTTTCTATACTAGGGTGGACTGTTTCTACTTTCTGGCCCTTTGGATGCTCTCTAGTCATTTAAGGTTATTAATGACCTACGTAAACATCTCTGGATTCTATTGACCTTCCCTCATGGTTGCATCTCAAAGCATTACATCTCAAAACATTACACAATACCACCTAAAGCAGGAAGGCAAGGTGGCTTATTAGCTTGAGCTTAAAAGGAAGAAATCTTTCCCAGAAGTCTTCCATAAGACTTTCTAACACTTGTCATAGGTCAGAACTTGGTCCTATACCTACTCCTAGATCAATCAGTGGCAAAAGGAAATATGATTTCCTCAATGGACTTAAAGTGTTGATAAATGGTTAAAAATGGACTAGGGACTAGAGCGAATGGTAATCCTAATTTGTAACACTTGCTGCTTTCTGTAGCATAAATACTCCCACATTGACAGGTTTCAAGCTACCAATGTGATGCCATTGAACTCGAACTGGGAAAAAAGGCATAAAACAGTTCTTGTAAGCCAGTATAGATTCTAGCAGACCACTAGGTTTAGACCAGTCATAATTCAATGTTTCTGACTAATTACTGTACAAACAAAATCAAAGTATTTATCAGAAGGAAAAGAAGAGGAAATGGCTGTTGAGTGGAGAACAAAACATGTTTGCTCCAAACACTGAGTGGCATCCACTACTTTCCCAGGTTTCTATGCCTTCAAAAACTTACCTTGTATTTGTTTAGCATGAGCTCCAGTGATACTTTTTTTGTTACATCATACATTCACAACATCTGTTCCCATAGATAATGGCATCTTCTCTTAGGATCTTCCTAGTCATAAGAAAGAATCTAGCTTGCCCCATACATCTTTTTAGTGCCAGGCTAAAAGTCCGAAGTTCAAGATCACTGGTCAACCATGGGTGGGTTTACCTTTTTTTCAGATGGCTAATCATGGTTCAAATTGCTGTTATGGGGCTGTGACAATCTGGTGGTTTTTGGGCGGGGTAGATTTTTTTAGAATAAGTTGCATATGTAATCAGCAGTAAATGACTTCTCTGCTATTACTTTATAATGATCTTGTAGACTATGTTGTTTATATTCTCAGACTTCTGGTCATACTGTTGCCAAGTGGAACAACTGACAAGTTAGTTCACAGAGTATCTGAATTATGAATTACCTAGAGAATATTATGTTTTTAAATTTTTTATAAACATTTCATCTATTTCTTGGCCTTTTATTTTCCCAGTAGTCAATAGCAATACTCAATTCTTTTTTTTTTTAAATAAGATAAAAAAGAGGGGTCACAAAAAGATTCCCACTTTTTCCTGAGTCAGTTGAGAAAATTTGTGGATTCTAAGAACATCAGTTCTCCACATTAAAATACGAACAAAAATTAAAGCCTAAAATTAGTGAAAAAGTATTTTTAGACTTTAAACTATTATTTTATTGTCATTAGCAAAGATAGAAATCACATTAATAAAATGTTTGCCTTATAAACATATTTTAGAGAGGTTAGATTATCTAATATTGTTTAGTAACTTGAAATAAAGGTATCTTTAACACCAAATATCTTTCACTTATCTATTGCAATTTCAAATATAGAAATTTCATTGTTTATTTTAAAATTGTATGATAATATAATTACTAAATTTCTCATAATACATAAATTAAAATACAATTTTCACAAGCTATTTTGGGGTTATTTTGTTTCCTGCTATATATAGAAAACTTTAAACGTGTGCAATTAGTTACTTTTTGAAAATCATAAGGACTATAGCCAACTATAGCCAAATTATATATTTTTAAATTTTATGTGTAAAAATAAAATGAAATGGTGAACTAAAACTTACTTCCTCAAACAAAAAAGATGTTTGCTTAAGTCCTCTGCCATTTATTTGTCCAAAAAAGGCTTTTTTGTGGGTGCAATGTTATTCATGTCAGTGTTATGTCACAACGAATTAGAAAAAATTTTCTAAAAGTAGGTATCCAAACTTTTTGTCCCATCACTGACTACAGGGCTTATTCCAACATCATTCACTATGCTTTTTATCACTCTCTAAAAATACATATAACAAAACACTTTTCGGAAAGTCATTGGTCTGAAGTTTCTTTGATCAAATCAGGGTCTGTTATTTTATAGAAAGAAGATATGATGAAATTTGAGCTCTGTCTTTTCAGCCTTCCATGGTGCCTGAAATCCCCAGTATTAGTTATTCATGTAGGACTATAAAAGCATTTAAGATCTCTGTTTAAGATGCAAATCTAGAAAACATAATAACACATGCATCAGCTTTTTGAACCATTGCATTATCTGACTCACCGTGAGCAATAATCTCAAGGAACTGAATTTAGAAGTAAATTTAAATAGAAGAGGGAATGACTTGGACCATTGATTTAAGGATCTATTGGACAATTACTAAGAACTGATTAAATGTGAGGGTTGGTGAAGATATAACCTGTCTTTCATTTATTTGTTCCTTCATTTATTAAATATTCATTGCATAAATTTAAGTGTGAAAGTCTACAAATGTTATTAGAGATTGAATAATGAATAAAAGTTAGTGGAAGAAACAAGTTGCAAGAGAGCATTGATAATAGGAATTACTGGGGAAAGGGGATCACATGAGGAATGGAGAAAGCCACTGACATGGTTTGAAATTTTCTAAAAGAGAGATTGACCGACCATTTATTGATTAGAATTAGAACTGCTTTTCCCTTACTGTAAAAGGTATTTTTATTTTAAAGATGACATCATATTTATTCTCAGTGAATAAAATTATTGAAAGATGTTTTCAGATCTCCTTTATTCCATATCCTAAATTTCTCTTCATCACGTCCACTTTCCTCTATCTCCACTGCTCTCACTCCAGTTCAAACTATTATATCTTACTTGAATTGCCATATAATCTTTCTTTCTAACTGAACCTACTTACTAGGAGCCTTTTTATTTAATATTTGCAAGACTAATATGGGGGGAGAGGTTATGTATTATGCTTGTATTAAATGTACTTACCCATATAATAAATATTTTTTACATCTTTATATCACGACAAATAATTTCAATCATTAATTATTTCAATATTC